ATCCCTGACTTGGGGATGTGCAAAGGCCATCTGTCTCAGAGGAACTCTGCTGAAGCTAGCCAAAATATCTTGGTGAGTAGCCTCTTGCATTATGTTTGTGGCCTCCTGTACTCATTACCTCTCTTTCTGTCTTGTTTTCAGCCCAGCAGCTGTGTTAAAGAGCCCAGTCCTAAAAAATGTGGCTGTGGAAAGAGATTATAGAATGATCTGGCAAGATTTCTCATATGACATACTCCGGAACATTTGAGGTATCCATGAGGGATATGCAAGTGGTATGATACTAACTCTATGAGAGATCCAGGCCTTCCTAAACTATCTGCTAATAAAAAAAATAGGTGTCCCAAGATATATTGCACGTATATGGTTAGATAACTAAGACTGTTCACAGCTTTCTTGCTTTCCCTGTTTTGCTTACACGTGTGTGTGTCACACCCACACCCTTGGTAGGGCATCAGCAGCGAACAGTTTGCGGGCTGGTGTCAGCAAACTCACTAGTGAGATGATGTTCCTGATGCCCCAGCCTGTGCAATGCCCAGGTCCTGCTGTGTTCAGCCTTGTAGTCCTTCTTGTGGAGCACTGCAGCCTGCCTTTCACTTTATAGCCATCTGCCTGCACAACACACCTGCATCTGTGGCTGTTCTCCCTGTCCTGGTCTTCCAGAGTGTTCATATCCTCATCACCTTGCATGGGGGCACTCAGAAATTGCTGTTATGGCTGCTCAGTTGTGTTTTGTCAAAAGTCATTGCCAGCACCATGTCAGTTGCCCTTCCTTCCTCCCTCCCTCTACATTTCATTACCCATTTCATAATTTTTACTTTAAAGCCTTTTAAGAGACTTTAGGGTGAAAGTAGAGCATAGTAGATAAGAGTTATTCAGCTAGACAATTGACATTTCCCAGTAATGTATACCCAAAAGGCTCAGCAGCCAATTAGAGCTGCAAAATCTGTTCCTGATTGAAGCATGTGTCTGTCAACTCTATAGCGCAATGAGGGAGGCAATGCTTCGCTGGAGAGGATGCCCTGAAGAGGATGCTCATTTGGAGCATCCAGGCTGGCCACTGATGGTGTATTCCCTTTTTTTTTTCCCCTTCTCTCTTTTTGCCTTCCTTCCCTTCTCTACTTGTTTGGTGGGTTTTTTTGCTCAAGTGGAATAGTTACTGTTAGAGTTGATGTAAACTATGAGTTATGGACTCCACAAATAAATCTTTGTGCCTGTAAACTTATTTCATCATCCTTTATGCAATAGTGAGAACTTCTGGTCTCTTTCGTATGAAGACCAAATAGGTGAATTTAACGACTTTTCAAGGATTTAAACATTTATAATACTATTTAACAGGTTTCAGCTCTGATCTAATTGATCAGATGTAGTTGCTTAAACTGTCTGCTGTGTGTACTACATCAGAGAGGTTGAAATGCAAAGTCAAATCTATTAGCTTAAGGGAGTGCTGCCACAATTGTTTTAAATTCATCTGTTGGACTTGTTCTGTCTCAGTCAAATGTGAGAATTTTAAGAAGATTCAACTATTAGTGAATAAGCAGCTACTAGATGTTACTGAATAACAGATATCACTTGCTATCTGGGATGCTTTGATGTGGTGTGATCTACCCTCTGCCACTGCATCCAGGCCCACTGACCACTCTCATGTTTGTGGAGTCATACAAAAGAGCACACACATGGCTATATGTAAGTTCTCATTTGTCCACAAATCCTTGGTGTTACACATGTGATGCTGGACAAAAAAGAGAGTCCTGAAAAATATGGATGCGCCTGGTTACTTCAAGCACAGATTTCATGAAACACCAGGTCACAGAGCTCTAGGGAAATCCTGGTTTTAACAAAACACTCCAGAATATTAATGAGCATCAAAATTTCTGTTTTAGTGCTGCATTCAACAATATGTCATTCGGCAGACGCTTAGGATGAGTTTTTTCTCGCACTGCTTTTAAAATGATGTAATTATTTCTGGTGATGTCAACTGGCAGAGGAAGCAACAAGGAATTTTAGCCAGCACTATTTTTGACTGCCTATGCCAAAATGAAGCAGGAGAACTTGTGAAAAACCGTATGTCCTTTGGGTGGCGCCTACTGCAAAGCATTTGGTTTCTTTTCTCAACACAGTAGAGCTGAGAAAGGTCCCGGCCTGGCGCTAGCTGGGTGGGATTTAAATCCCTGATTCTTTTGGATACTGCTGGGAGAGAGTGTGACCACAGAGCATCAGGGATATCTGGTATGCAGAGAGGGAACAGAGAACAGAAAATTAATAGCATCTATTCATAAATGCAACTTGCATTTGGTAAGTGTGAGTCATTTGCTTCTTTGGTTTTTGGTTTTATATGGCTACTGAAAAAAAAAAAAAAAAGTGCTGTAAACATATTTTATTAGTTATTAAATTTATTATTTTTTTAAAAACCCTTGATATATACACCCATGAATAAAACAAGTCCTTGCCTAGTCTGACAGTTGAAATAACAGAGAAAACAACAATTTTCTTTCTTTTTCAGGGTATAGTAGCATGTTTACACTACCTTAACAGACAGTGGTAGGCTAGGTGGGAAGAACAGATTTTAAGAAAGGCTTTGAAAGCATAATTACAGTTAGAGATCAAGAGCTGACTCACCTGCTGTGGAGTGTAAGTATGTGGGCTGTTAGATCTTGGGTCAGATCTGATTTTCACCACTGTATTTCACCCATAAGGACCTGGAGTGGGTGGAGAACATGAAGCGTGAGCGTAGCCAGACTCCTCTCCCACCCAACCTGCCAGGCCAGCAGAGCCAGCAAAGGATGTTGTAATGTGCTCTGGATGTGCTAACACCATCCTGCCAACACCTCCAGCTCAAGGGAATTGAAAGCAGGTCTCTCTCTGAGCTTGGTTTCCTTGGATTGTTTTGGAATTGCTTCAGTTTAGACATGCTGGTGCTCAGCTCTGTCCGTAAAGTCTCCTTTTTGCAGTCCAGAGCATAGATGTTGTATGTCACTGGTATTCATAATACATCATGTGGCAACATGAAACATGATATGCACTTCTAAGCATCTGTGATGTGCCAGAGTACAATGACATAACAAAGTTATCCATAAACTCACTTATTCATCAATTTATAAAATCAGTCTCTAGGAAAACACACCCAAAATACCAAGAAAAGAAATGAGGAGTTCATTATCCAACACAGAAGACTTTATTTACAATTAGACATACGGATTTCAGAAAGAAGAGTTTGAGTTTTATTTCATTTATATTAAGTTCATTAACATTTCTAATAAATGTTTATCCTGCACTGTTTGAACAGATGTAAATACTTAACATTAGCCTTAATAACATGAATTGACAATAACTGTAACCAATGCTTTGGAAAAAATAACTATTAATTATAATTCAAGTGTAGACTAGGTGATGAACATAGTTTAAAATTCCAAACCTGCACTAAGATAAATGAGATTATACATATGAACAAATGTATTTGTGTGCATGCAAAATTGGGCCCTGAGACATTTAATGGCCTGACTCGCTGGATGACTGATGCTGGACAACTACAAAGCACCAAACACTAATAGAGCAAACGCTAACTTGCTGACAATTGACTTGAAGCCAAAGAAAATGAAGCTGAAATGCTAGTGTATCAAAAACGATAGGAGCATTGCTGTTATTTCTTTGGTGAAAATATCTCACTTTTAGATTCTGGCAAAAAGGCTAGTTTTATTATAAAAACTTGGTGTCAGATCTTGAACCACAACAGATCTGTGCATGTTTCAGAGGAGAAGGTGACTTAATGACTTCACTGGTCTTTATACTTTTTTGACCAGGCCACTAGGGGTGCCTTCATTTGTGCCAAACTGTCCTCAGACTAATATGAGAACAGAACATCACATATGACACATACTGTTGTGACAATAATGTAGAGATGAGAAAAAGGTCTTATTTTTCATTAACTATCAAGCATCACGAGCAATCAAATGCATTGGGTCTCTAAGTGAGAGCAGAGCTTTCCTTGAGGGTCGTGCCTTCTTTAGATCTCCTGCCCTATTACTTTGCATTTCCAGCTCACCACTGGAAAAAGAGATTGTAGCCATGTACCACATAGATCTTGCCTTAAGAAATCTCTTGGGATTTCTTTGATTCATCAGCTCTATTGATAGCAACTTTGTCCACAAGGAACATGGATTAAAACAACAGCTTGTTTGGTTTTTTCCTTTTATTTCCAAAGGATGAAAACACCTTACAGAAGATACCTGGTGAAAGATATTGTTCTTTACTTGCAAGGTAAATCTTTCTGGTTTAAAGTCCATTGTAGCACTATTTCCAAACACCAGGCTGTGAGAGGCTGACCATTTTGATCTTCCTTTTTCTTTGCAGCTCTTATTGAAGGGAACAAAAGGTCCAAGAAGAAGTCTTCGAAAATAATGAATTTGGGCTCTTGTTCTGAATTCAGTGAGTCCATGGGAAAAGGAGAGACCCCACAACACTCAGTAACTGCCCCATTGACTCTCATTTCTAAGATATAGCATTCAGATTAAATTAAAAAGTAAACCACTTATGCAGATGGCAGTGGTTGCTACCTGTTTACAGGCTGATTCACCTCATTAAACAAATGGTTGCACAAATTTCCTTGTGGCAGATGGTTTATCAGTAAGGAATTGAAGCTACCTGTTTTCATTTATAGTCTTCTATAGCAAGGAAGTGGAACCTTCTGATGTTTGATCAAACTCATTATCTCACTCCTTCCTGTGTCTGAAGCATCCTGGAATATTTTCTCTTGACCTTAAAGGTGACATATGAGATCATTCCTTAAGGGAGGCCTTGGGCAAAGTGAAGTTAGGGCAGAGCAGGGGCTAGAGCTCAAGCAACAGCCAGAAAGAAAAGCACACAAGGGGCAACAGGAAGAGCAGTGGAGCAGGTTGGGGGTTAGGAAGTAGTTCAAGTTGCTAAACAGCTGTGGAGTCAAATGTTGATGTGAATGACTAGTGTATGAGCCTTGTCCATATATAATGTATAAACCACATATTTTAGTAAGTCTTTTATTAACTTCATGTATTACAGTTAGTAACTTTACATAATAAACTTCACATTCAACGCAATTCACATCCCTGAATAGAGGACAGGGAGCAGTTCTATTGCAGCAGCTTCCATTCCTTAAAGGAACAGAAAGAAACATTGCAATGAGAGCATCTAGAGCACAGCATGAGCTCAAAGGTGTTGTCATTCCCAGTCTGTGCTCGGAGACAGAACATCAGCAAATGGCATTCATTTGTCTTGAAAATCCCAGAAGAAAAAAAAGTAGCAAGTTGCATAAATGGCAGAAGGTGGACTAAAATCCAGCTGCACCTGAACTTCAGTGTGCCTGAATGTCATTTAAAAATTGTAACAAGGTTCAAATAATCAAAGTTATTTGAAAGCCTAGTTTCCATGGTAGCCTCTTTAGTGATGTCAGTAGTGTGGACCTTCAGAAACATCAGCTTATTTGGGTTAGTGAGTTGGTCTTCTCAAAATGGAAAAGCATGTTGAATTCCATAGCATATGGACTGACTGTTCCTTGAATCATACCTTTTGTCTCTGAAGTTTAACAGGCTGCTTGGCTGAAATTTCAATAAAACATTGACTACCTCTGAAGTCTTCTGTTACCTGTAGTGAAAGAAAATCAGAATTCAGCATGTGATGAGGTAAGTCTTCATCTTAAAAATGTCTGTTTACTACAGCATACTTTTTACCATAACATTCATGTTTCTATACTTCTTTTAAATCACCCCAAAAATTTATTTGTTTCCCTAGATGTCTGTCCACTAATCCACCACTTGGTTATTCTGCCCATTATGGGAGTATATTCAGTCTTGGTGGGTTAGGTATGTTCATGAGATGTTTAGACTAACCTGACAGTGATGCAAAACTGAGAGAAAGAAGTGAGAAACCCTATCTAACACTCAATAAAAAATATATACAGTGGGTTCTCTGAACCCTGGATGGGTATGTCCTGGAAAAGCACAGGAATCTGCAGCTGTGTGGCCTCTGTCCCAGAGAATTACCAGAGGGCACTCCTAAACAGTTTAGCAGTCTTGGATAAAATGTCCATTTTCATAAACTCACAACAATCATGTTGTGTTTTGGAATAAAAAAAATGTTGGTCTCCTGATATAGTTCCCAATACTCTCTCCTCAGTGTGTTAAGAGGTTAAGAGTGTCAGAAAAGATTAAGGCTGGGAAGAGAATTTGAAAACATTAACTAAATTATCTTCATGATTTCCCACAGAACAACTGCTGAATTTACTAGCACTTAAAAAATCAGAGCAGCTAAATAGGTAATGATTCTGAACTTCTAGAAAACTTGAGGAAAAGTTGCTGCTGAGGACTGAGCTATTAGTGCTTACTTACTTATTTTAATTTCTTTGATCTGCATATGAAAAAGGAGCCCATGAATGCGAGGAACAGCACAGAACCTGCAATCATTAACGCCAACTGCAGCACACTCAGCATCTGAACTCGACCGGTGACTTTATTTCTGAACATTTCTGCTTTGTCATCCCCAATAACAGCAGACTGAAACAGTGCAAGAAAAATGTCAGTAAAAGGTAAGTATGCAAGCTCTTACTTTCTGAACATATTTTGGTGTGTGTAAATCACAACATGACTTTAATTGCCCAGTTTCAGGACATCAGGGCTGAAAAAGCTACAGGGTTTTTTGTTTGGTTGTTTTGTTGTTGAGATTTTTTTGTTTGTTTGTTTTTTTAACAGTGAAGATTAATAGATAGAAGATATACTAACCTCATTTAGCCAAAGAATAGGAAAAACATAAGGTTTTTTAACTTTCGATAAAGCTCTGAAATGAGAAAATAAGTACAGCATGTTACCTTTAGTTTGGTGCATACGCACAGTCTCTACTTGAACATTCTCCTCTAACTATATTTCTACCTTTCAGATGGACCTTTTTAGCATAGTTTTGGACTGAATAAAAAAACAAGCCTCCAATTAATAACAGCTGTTTTACATATCAGGGAACCATCTCTTTCTGTCTTCCACATGTGGGTAGTCAGAAACAAGAAAGGCTGGACACAGCTATGTGTTGGTGTGAGGGTCTACAGATCTGTGTAGTGTTCACCTACTAGATGCACAGTATCCCAAAATGCTCGTCTGTACATGTATATTTGTGCCAATGAAGAGAAAAGAAACAGCTAGAGACTAGTCAACCTTTATGATAAAATCCATCTAGTGACAGAGCACATGTAAATTCACTCTCTCATTGGATTTATTATAGAAAATACATTTTGCCTTCTAGTTCGTCCTCATGGCCCCTATTTGGGTTTTGTAAGAATATTGTTTTTAAGAACATGTTGCCTTGTAAGCTTCTGTGGGAAAATTAAATGTGTATTAAAATACTTCTGCAGTGCCTTGCTCAAGAAACCTTGCTCTGTTGCTGAAATTTATGTTCTCTGAAAAGTCATGGCTGAAATTTTTGCAAGAAAGATGAAAAAGGTTTGGGAAAGTGCTTTTAGTCCTTCTTTTCCCAGCCATTTCTACTAACATTCCCATAGACCAATTAGCCCTCTTGAAAAAAAGTCTTTAAAAACAAAATAAAGAAGTAGTACTTACTCAATTTTTGGTGCAGGCCTCACAAGGAGGTTTACTTGCAGCCTTTTCGCAAATTGTAGTGTAAAACCAGTGATCTAAAACCAGAAAAAAAAACCAAAACACAAAAAAAACCACAAAAAAACCCAACAACATTAATTTAGATTTTAAAATTGAATGCCTAAGTCTGGCATATGGACTGTGTCAAAAAGCACTTTGGTATTATTTTATCCTTATGTTTTGAAGTATTCCACTTTTATGAAATTTTAATGTTTGTAAGAGTCTCTCATTTCTCATAGAAGTTCTGATTTTGTGGCTTTATCAAAGTTACTTTTGTAATTTGCAATTAAATCTGAAGGCAGAAATAGGTTAAAAAATACTAAATCAGCTATGAAATGCTTCATATAAAAACATGATTTAGGGCTTTTTTCCATGAGAAATTGTTTAAATTTTATTTTTTCAGTAAGAAAGATATTTAACTTGCATAGGGCTGAAAACAAACTTTTCATATCAAAACAAAGGTCAGAACTTTTCTTCATTTCTTTTTTTCCCCTCTCTCCTCCACAAAAATAAAGTAGGGTGTGATTCTTGAAAACTTCATATCAGATTTAGGAAATTCCAGTTGATGTCTCTATTCCAAATAAGATGAAATAAAGACTTAACTTTAGATCTTCTCATTAAAGTTACACAGATTAACTGTCATATTACACAATTAAAAATATTTTAATGAAAAGTACTGATTTTTACATTTTCATCCAAATTCAGAGCAAAATTAAATTTTGGAATATTAGAATTGATCACACAGTTCAGAAAACTTTGTTAAGACTCTGAATCACCGGAACAGAAATAGAGGTAAAACTGGAGGTAATCCAAAACAGAGCTGTCATAAATCCATTCGGTTTGGGAGCTCTGTTGGGTAATCCAAGTCACAAAAATTATATTAGATCTAGTCTAGACTAGTCTGTTCAGATTTCTAGATATTTTCTTGGAAATAAACTGATCTATATTTATTTAATTTCAGTTGTGATAGTAATTATACAGAAAAAGGCTAGTTATAGAAAATAAAAAAAATAAGTATAGAAGGAACAGACCTTTCATAGAAAAGAGTTTTTTCAAAGTAATGGAAGGTCATAGAAAAGCTACAGCATACTTCAAAGTTTGCAGAATCTATTTAATCCCACATTCCCAATGAAAAAAATAATAGAAGGAACAGACCTTTCATAGAAAAGAGTTTTTTCAAAGTAATGGAAGGTCATAGAAAAGCTACAGCATACTTCAAAGTTTGCAGAATCTATTTAATCCCACATTCCCAATAAGGAAATATCAAAACTTATTTTCCAAACTTTGAAGGTCAGAATGAGACAAAGTTCAGCTCTAAATTTCCCCTGCTAAAACCATAACATTTTTGTGAGAAGAGACTGCAATAGCAAGCATGAAAATATTATATCATCTGCTCATCCCTCTGGTAAAAGTCCTACTCTACTGCAATTAAATTTAAACATCACAAGTTTACTGGGTTACAATTATTAAATATTTGGACTTACAGGCTCTATATCTAGATACGTCTCGTGCTCCTTCTCATTTGGGCTCAGGCCTTCAACATTATGCAATATAGAATCACTTGCATGAAGAAAATGTGGAAGAGAGATAAATACTGGTCTTCCTATTTGAAAAAAACAAACTCATTTGAATCATCAAGCCTTGTTTCAGTGTTCATCTTTTGATGTTTTTTTCCATGCAAACAGTTTTTTATATAGGCACACAATGCTGACAAAAACATTAATAGTCCCATCCCCCCCCCAAAAATTGAGCATATCTGTGCCTCTACTGTTGTGAGGAAAATGTACCTGTTAAAATAAATTGCAGTTACAAATCCTGCTTATCTGTGTCTACACGGTGGAGCTGGAAGTGCTCCCAGTTTCATGCTGAGGTGAGGACCTGACTGTCACTGTTTGCCCCCACCTTATTGATCATTTTTTAGTAGAAAGCAAGCCCGAAGGGAGCCCATGCTGTTCACTCTGCACCAACTGCAGACTTTGTATATATATTTATTTTATTATACCTATGTTAAATCAAGCCAGTAGTGTCTCTCAATCTCTGCATGTGTATATAGTTGTATACACACAGACACATACTGTGTGTGTGAATTACCACAAATCCAAGAACTGTTACTACTTCTGGCTTTTATACAGTGCCCCTTCCTTTCCTTTTTGTACATGCATTCTTACAGTTTCAGTACACAATCTATAGTATGATTTTGCATAGCACTGTGCAAAATACAGAACTATTACATTTTGAGAAATGATGCTGCAGCATTGTGAAAGGTCTCATAGACAATCTGTTGAAGAATTCACAAACACGAATGTCCTGGATCTTAGAGGAACATCTCAGCTACAGGACACTCCCTAGTTAAATGGCAATACCATGTCACTACCATACCTGCTTTGCAGGCACTAATGTCTAGGACTCCAGCTAATGTGCAATTCTGTGATATGACTTCATCTGTGCAGAAGCAATAATTATCTCCGACTTCAGTAGGCGATGCAAATGCTTCACGAGGAACTGCGAAACGATAAAGTGAGATTCCCTTCACTTCCTGCTTGCCCTGGAAAACTCCATAGATAGATCTGAATGTAAAAGAGGAGAAACATGCTTCAGTCATTTGGATTAAAAAATCTGAATTCATGGCAATACTCCTTAAGGATTCCCCAGCTGTGTCTCTCTCTCAAAAGAAAAAAGTACTCCAGGAAACCAGTGTCCAGGCTCCCTTCACACTGTTCAGCAGTTTGTAGTGATGTTCCTCTCTAATGGAGGATATTCTGCACTTTCACAAAGTGATATACAAGCTCAGAGGTTAGCACAATACACAAAAAGACAAACAAAAATACTAATACTACTAATAAACAATATACACAAAACTAGCAAATTAATTAAGAGCTCTTTTCCCTATGCACTTCTACATCCAATGTTATGAAATTTTTGGCAGTTTTTGGACAACAGCAGAGTTACTTATCAATATAAAGCAGCTCTGCTACAGGTTTTTGCTGACCTGATGGTACTAATCTAAGCTTTATAATGCAGGCAACATTCTGCATGTAATTTTATTCCATTGGATATAAATCAGGATAACATTCAAGCTTCTTTTTGCCAATACACTATCAACTGCTGATACAGAAATTTGGTTGTTACACAGTAATGTGACCAGGGCAGCAACACTTTGTGTTGCAGCCAAACAAAAGAAGGGTTCTGGGTTTTGCAACCTGGACAGAACCATTTTGCATGACCCCATTTCAGCATGACCTTTGGGCAATTTTTGCTGTCCTTCATTGTTCATTAATTGTGAGAATTAAGTGGCCAGGCAGATCTCTAAAACTGCATGCAACTGATCCAAAGAATTTTATCATTTCTCCTCTTCATAGAATTCCCTTTTCCATTACTTGAAATGTTTTCCAGTTTGAGGATACAATTACTTCCCAAAAAAAGAACTTTGACTTCATATAAAAACACTGCTCTTTAAAAACAAGCAGTCTGCAAAGCAAATGGCCCACTTTAAACCTAGTTAAAAGGAAGAAGCTGTTTCCAGGCAGCACAATAAATAAAGAGGTCAAAGCTCCCAAAGTAAATACGCTGTGATGCACTTTAAATCTTTTAACATTGCTTTCAGCAATCCCACTGGAGAACTCAGGAACACTGGATAGCCACAACAGAAAAAGCAGGCTTAAAAGCCATCAGTATGGGATGTATTAAGCAAGTTTGTTTGTTTGTAAATACATAAAAATAAAATACATAAAAATATCCTGTGAGAAAACATTTTTGAGTATCTAGTGGATGACAGTAAATCCTGTTCTGCATAGATGATGTTCTGCAGAAATACCAAAGACAGGCTTAACTGTCCCCTGCTGCACCTATGGCCTTCTCAGACCAAATAAGGCAGGTTATAGGCTGCATCCTGATCTTAGAAGAAGATCAAGACTTTGAACCCTGTGACTCAATGTCTTTAATAGATCTGTAACAGCTCACAACAGTGTTAGATATTGCTGAATTACACACCTGCAACTGGCTGAAATAAAGTACACCGTAAATAGCTTGCTACTTGACATAAATAAAAGTAGTAGAATCAGGTTCTGAATTATGAGCACATCCCACGAGTTTACTTGTGATTAGAAGAAATGTTTATGTTGAATTGCCTCAGTAACCTGAGCCCAAGCAGAGCCACTGCAGCTGTCCTCTGAAATGAAAGAGCATTCGGGTGGCACACACAGGTGTGCACACACACCAGGAAGGGACCAGCCTACCTGCAAATGTCGGAGGAGAAGAAGCGCAGTACCTCATCCTTCTTAACAAACGGTGGGAATGATGCCCCATCTGCAAATAAAATAAGAATTTGAAAGCAACTCTACTTAGAAGACTTGATTTGAGTTCTAGCTGAATAATCAGCTGTTACTTTCCTATAAAGCTGTGAAAAAGGTAAACAAAATGAGTCATTTATGGGGAAAATGTTTATGGAAGTTATTGCACGGTGACAGGCACTCCACAGATAAGATTGTATTGTTTTTGAAAGCAAGCCAAATTATGACAGCTTTTTTTTTTTTTTCACAGATGTGAAGCTACATGATCAAGTCCATTAAAAACAGAAGATATGAAAACAATTCCTGCTTTAATATGAATCACAATAACTGTTGCCATTGCTTCAAGGTTTTTGCAATCTAAAGACCTAAACCTTTCTAGAGGTTGGTTCTCCTGCACATATGGCACTCAACACGACTGAAGAAATATGACTTTAGACTTCAAAACCACTTATTTAGTAATCAGTGCTAAACTTTTTTTCACCAAAGACTGCTCAAGTGGACCTCTTCTTTGTAAGCTAAGATCCTGTCTATAGCTAATGGAGAGAAGGTAGCACTCTAAGGCACAACTCATCTCACTCCATGGCAGACATGCAAAATCGATCAGAAGAATAGCACTTTGATGATGTCTTTTTCTCCACTCATTATAAAAAGAACACAGTCAGCCAGATCAGATACATATTTCTGCACTGCAAACATCCAAAGTTAAGTAAGAGAGCTCTGCCTTTTTCCCGAACAAGGTGTTGTAACAAACCTTTAACCAGTACATTTATTACTTCTTGCTACAATTTCTGTTTAGGTTCTTAGTCAGCAGCCATAACCAAGGGATGGAAAACATCTGTGATATCTTTGAATATAGTTGGCAAGAGCGAGGAAGCTAAATTACATACTGCCACTTGCCCACTGCTGAGAGAAGCACTTTTTCTTAAAGAAGATCCAAGATCACCCTAGACCCACAGTCTATTTCTAAATCTTGGCAGTCTTGGAGAGTTTGCAAACATGGACTCATTTCAACCCCACACAAGAATACTGCTTAATATTTATATCTAGATATTTACTTATACTATACATGCTGCACTTTGATGTGAAAGCTTACAGGATAAGAAGGGATTCTCAGACTTACTTACAAGACTTTCTAAACCACCTGCTTCTCTAAACACATGGTCTTTCCTGAGCATTCACACTGCTCTTGTAAACTGTTTGATAACCTTTGCTAACAAGAAAAAGCTCCATATTTTCACTGTTTTGGAGCACTTAGTCTAGTTGTTTATTCCATCAGCTGTGGAAGAAGAAAAAACAAAAAGCTGACCATGGGGGAAAAAAGTATTCAGGCTTCAAAAGAAAGAAGATATGTCCCAAAACCTAAGAAAATGTTGCGTCTTATAAAATTAATTATGTAGTTTAAAAAGGAATAAATCCTTCCTGATTGACAGACCTTTGGAAAGTCTCATCCGTGTGCTGTATTTGAAATACTTCAAAATATCTTGCCATGTGCTCTGAGTTAGAATACTAATTATCTATTTCAGGTAAAGCAGCACAGAAAAGGAAAAAAAAAGCCAACCCAAAAACCTGCTTGTTTTGATACTCACTCACTGAAGGCCTACAGCTCTCTGCAAGAGCCTCCACCATGACATCTGCCAGCCTCAGCAAAACAGATTCTGGTGTCCTTACAGCAATGCTTTCACTCATCAAGAAGAAAAATACCATCTTGAGCAAATGTATTTTAAACAACTCAACTGTTTTCATATGCATTCCTAAAGCAAATTCAGAAATATTCCTCTCTAATTTATTCATCCCAAACTTCTTTTTCTGCTTCTCTTCTTCATCCCTTTCCACTTGCTAGTGGCCTCCAAACCACCTGTCTGACAGCCTTTGTCAGTTCAATTTCTTTTCATATCTCAGTAAGAAATATTTCTATCTGTTCTGATGCATTTATTTTTATTTTCCGACACTGTAAATGAATATACATTATTAGAATGCAAAGATAATTTTCAACTACTATAGCAAAACAAACAAACAAAAAAGATTCTTAGTTATATTATACCATAAATATAACTAGTAGAAACAGAAAGCTGGATGCTTTCGTTGTCTCTTCCACATCTACTCTAGCTGAAGAAGGTGTTTGTACATATATATATAAAATGGCATACAATATTATTATACATATCTATGTTATAATAGATACACATATATGCATGTATAAAATTAGCAGTATATATACATTCATATTTATAGAGATATTTAATATAGAGAATACAGAACTGTCAAAGCCCAGGGGAATTAATTAATGTGTCTCATTACTCCCTTGCAATATTGAGAAATGTGTTGAAGTTTTCAAAAGCTTTAACAGACTCACCTGTGCCATTAACCAAATCGCAGTGACCTTCCCAGTATGAAAGATTCCTTTAAGATAAAAAAATAAGTCATGCTGCATGTAGTATATCTTGTAATCCATTGCATTACCTGTATTACTAAATATAACTGCTCCAGTATAAACCTGATCCATTAGCAAAGTCAGAGAATAGAGGTGTTCATTCATTTATTCAGATAAACTATGTGATGCATTACAATAGGATAAATGGGATCTAGCTACTTAAGTATGCAAAACAGAAGTAACTGCTTGTATCAAAGCATCAATAACTGTCTTAAATCCGAAGGCCTAACAGAATCATTAATAGATTGAAAAGAAAGGAAGAGATGGTTTTGCTAAGCCCAGGGCTAGATCCAGCTTCCTTTGAACTGTTAAAGATTTTTCCATTTATCTATAGCTCTTAGTGAATCAAACCTGAAAAGCTATAACCTGAAAATATGTATGTTTTTTAGTTATACAATGCTGTGATACCTTTTGTTTTTATAGCTTTCAATTATTGCTGTTTTTTTAATATCTTCTTTCCCAGTATAGACTTTGTAAAGTCCATCGAAGGTCCCATTATACTGTAACAGACACAAGAAGTAATAAGTTAAAAACACCGAATCAGATTGTAGCATTGTCACAATTCCTTCCTCACAGCAGCTGCCTTAATTTTTATTCACAGAATGGTAACTGAAGGATTTGCCTCCTCATTGGTTTCACTTACTGGGTAGAAGACTCCCAGAACTGGGTCCAAGGGGAAGGGAACCTTGTTTAAGAAGGGATCTTTGTATCCCCACAGTAATTCTTTCACTGTTCTGTTCTGCAGCATGGATGACTTAGAAGATTTAATCCAAGTATTTAATAGTAGTTGTATAAAAGTGTTTGTATACAAAGCAGGCGCAGCCTACAACAGAAATAAAAATAATGTTTAGCATAAAATTCTGCATATGCTTTGGATCAAAAACACAGAGACCAACTCCAAGAAACCTCTGGCAAAGCCAGTTTCCAGAGTTGCCGCTCACTGTTAAGTTTCTACTTAAAACTGACACTCCTTAACAGAATAATAACTTACACAAAGGCAGGTAATTTGTCTTTACTGCCTACATGAGTTCACTAGATCATCCCTAATCACAGAATCACAGAATAACTGAGGTGGGAAGGGACCTCTGGAGGTCATCTGGTCCAAACCCCTTGGCTCAAGCAGTGCCACCAAGAGCCAGTTGCCCAGGACCACTGCCAGATGGCTTTTGAATATCTCCACATAATAATCTCAAATCGCTATTTGTGTAACATGGGTTGTACCACTTTCAGCTTTATACCTCTTTTCTGTCATTTCCATATATCATATACTTCAGATTCACTTGCACTATAAAGATGTAAGTAAAAATATACAAGCTTTGTTACTTACGGGCTTAGATGAGCAGTTTAGATTTGCTGTTACGCTAGCAGCAATACAACTGTATCCTGCATAAAACTGATCAAATGCTGAGTCTCTGTTATTTCTCTACTTAGAAGGAATACATATTTGCAACAAATAAGTCCTTCTTTTTGAACAGCTTTAATTCTAAATAATGGATAACTTTTCCTAATTCAATGAAGAATAAAGTAGATTTAGCAGCAGTAAGTGTAATGAACATTCCCAGAGGCATAAACACAAAGTCAGGTCCCTAAAGGCACCGAATACCTTGTAGAAAGCAAACAGAAATGATCTATGTTGGCCTGTCTGGTGAAGTAGGAAATTGTAATAATTTTGATAAGTGAATCTGTGTAAAAACAAGTTATTCTCTTAGAGCAAGCACTCAGCTGTTTAGTAGAATATCTCTTTGTACTTAGTGCTATGGGTATAGCAACGGAAGATTCTCTTTTGCTCTCATTTCCTGCCCTTCTCAACCCCATGAATCTTTCACTCTTGTCTGAACTTGAACACAGAGGAAGCAGGAAGCATGGATATCACAAGATTATAAAACAGAGTAGATGTGAGTTCAGTCCCCTCAGGGCTAAGAAAGTGTGAAAAACATCTCTCTGAATTCCCTTGTGAGTATTCTGACAACAGGGTTATGATATAAAAGGTGGGCTCTACTAGATTGAAGTCAGTTCTGTCAGACAAAATGGTAAGAGTCTCTCTGGGACGTTGGCTTACACCAGTTTGTTTCTGAACAGCAAAATGGGGCTTGGATCCTCTGTTCCCATTTCCCCTGACAAAGCTGCTTCCAGGCATGAGCCTAGGCTTAGACCCATAAAGAGCTACATGGTCCAAAGTGTGAGAGCTGAGCAGTGATAGTTAATAGCGTGACATGAAGAACTGAGTACAGGAAACAATAATAGTTTTCCAAAAGAGAGATGCTGGCCTAAATTAGGACACAGGCAGAATATATCTGGTCTGAATAAGGTCATTTGCCTTTATTTATTAGGTCTTTTCTCCCTAGAGAAAAGAAAACTCAGGCCGACTTCATCACAATATTCCAGTACTTAAAGGGCAGCTAGAAAGGAGGTGGAGACTTTCTTCACAAGGAACCACATGGAGAAGACAAGAGACAGCAGGTACAAGTTGCACCAGGAAAAGTTTCATCTTTATAGAAGAAATATTTTTTTTACAGTGAGAACAGTCGATCACAGGAATGTCGTAGAGTCCCTGCCTCTAGAGGTTTTCAAAGAGCAATTGGACAGGGTTCTAGAAAATCTCATCTGGGCTCCCTTTCTCAGAAAAAGATTGGATCAGATGATCTTTTGAGGTCCCTTCCAGCACAAGTTCTTCTATGACTCTCTGATTGATTCTATGTTTCTGTATCATGTTAGCACCAAGCATCTCTTCACTCTGCCCCTAGCACCCACCCTCTCATAGTGATCCTTATCACTCACATGCAGACACCCCAAAGTTAATGCAAGTCAATTATGCAACACAACCAGGGCTAAATATAAATATGAAAACTGTAAACATCAATCAAGGGCAAACAATCTCAGCCTGTGACAACACAAAAACATCTGGACTGAAAAGGCTCTAGCACTACTCTATGTGGAGACCCTTGTGCTTTTCTTTGAAGGACTAAGGTCACAGTAGGATGGAAGAGCCCAGGGCTTGCCATTGCAGTGGTGTTCAGGGGCACCATGGGGAGCAAGTACTGAGGCAGTGAGGCCACGCATGGACCAAGCATGGTATTTAGTACAGACTCCTCTGCAAAGCAGGACTGAAGATATTATGGAAATAGTATGGTAAATCTGTCTTGTATTGTTCATGTTGTACTTCACACAGAAAGGGAATCCATCCACAAACTCTTGATTCATTTGCACAGTAAAGTTGACTAGAAGGATGCTTTTTGATATATCCCATCCAAACTGATGACTTTGCTTCCATTGACAGGAACAAGTCAATTTTAATTTACTGTTAAGATTACCCTGGGAATATAAGGGAACTTTAACATATATGCAATACGCCCACAGTTTTGGTTTGGTTTTTTTTTTAAACAGTAACGCAGCTGTCCTCAGTGCAGCTGACACTCGTGTCATCTGAGTTCATAGAAAGAAAACCTATCCTGTGGCAGTTTCAGTTTTACTAATGTTAACTTCTCCTCTATTTTCTCCAGTATCTCATTTGAATGTGGACATTATGGTTTTGTTTCTATACTTACAACAACAGCAAGGTTGAGACACGTGATGGTATCATTTTCTGACCCAACAGACATATCAGGTTCAAAACGAGCAACGTTAGGCAGCATGTAGGATATTGTGCCATCAGAGTTTTCAGTTATATTTTCTTTGGGTAAATACCGCACCCTTAAAGAAAAAAATAAAAACACAGAGTGTTTTTAACATTTGATTTTTGAGACAACATATAACCATGCCTGGCTGAAGTTTTTTGAAGTGTTGATGAACATTTTTGTAAATTAATGTTGAACATTTTATAGCCACTGAAAGCATTCTAAACTTTTCATGTGAATATATATAAAAATACCATTTTCTATAACTTATTTTTCTTTTGGAAATATTTCTTAGTGCCCAATGGATTTTTTTTTTTCTTGATACTAAAATGAAAAGAAATATTTCTTTTAAATTTTTATTGCAATAATGGACCTTGTGTCTTTTTATATTTTCTTTTAAATTAATTATATTTTGTCACATTTTTTCTAAGCTTTCTTATGGTTGCATGTAATTAGAAGGGGGTGACTCAGAATGGTTAGTAAACACTCATAAGGTTTGTTTCGATAGGCCTGTGTTGCAACAAAACAGATTACAGGTTAAATTAGATCACCAAAGCAAAAATCTCTGAGCTGCTGCAGTTGTAGCTTTAGCTCAACTCTTCAAGTCCCCATCCTCTTGCTGACCCCTCTGTGGGGTCATCCAGCAGGTACCATATAACAGTGGGTCCACAAAGCTTGTCCAAGCTCCATCCCAGAAGGGATCTTCAGGATACTTCATCAGATCTTCCAGCCTGGGCATGGGAGGACCAAAAGGTTCAGAGAGCATTTCCCCGTGGTACAGATGTAGCCAGTGAAGGTGGGCCTTACCCCAAAAGCAGATGGATCTTGGCTTCTCAAGATTGTTTTCTGTGCATGCTATTTTAATTAATAGCCTAATGTGTAGAGTACCTCCCTGAAAGCTGGGAGATGTGTTTTCCAATTAGTGTTCCTTTTAACAGAAAACAAAAGGCTTAAAACAAGGTTTCCCAGTTCCCAACACAATCTTGGGGACAGCTGCATTTTCAAGGCCAAAGATGACTGAGAGAGAGAGACCCAGTGTCACAGTGATGCAGGTAGACCAAATATCCCAGGTGAGCATGACTGAACCATTGAGAAGATCAATAGTCATCATCTCTTACACAGACTCATCTAAACTTCTGCCAGAGATCTGATCCCGAGAAAACAGGCTGTTTGCTGATTCCTGTGTAACCATTTCCTATGTCTCCCCAGCCAACGTATTCCAATGAGAAATAAAAAATCTTTTTGGCATCTTTTTGGCTTTGCCCCTAGGTTTTAGATGCTGCAATTCAATACTAACTTGCAAATACAATAGGCATTCCCAAAGGTATATAAAAAAGAAATAACTCTTAATTTTAGGAAAGCAATTTCATAACAAGGGTGCCAGTGATATCTGGGTATTGGGCTTAATGACTCAGGAAGTATCAAATAGTCCTATGTCAATACCACATTAAAATAAAGCAACTGATTAAAAGCATCTCAGAATGGAGATGGACTGCTGTATCTAGGTCCTAGTTAGTACATTCAGAAAAAACAATGCTTTTCGGAGGGAAAAATTGATAAAGGAAAAGCTATAGATTAAAATAAGCTGTAAAGGGGTGAAGAAAGAAAACATTATTAAAATCAGTATGAGAGATACATGGGTGATAAAATAATCTCTTGGTTTGAGGGCATCTGGCATATTTTATTCTACATTAAAAAGTTGGCAAGCACTGAACGTGCCTCTGTGTTATTATGGCAAACACCTTGCTAATGAGGAAATATTTTTAACAAGAGCAAACAGCTTCACACCCAATTACCTATTTGTCTATGTGTTTCCCCAGTGTGAGGCCCAAGAAAGAAACTGTGATTGCTGTGTGTAGCTGCAATTTAGGCATCTTTGTCAAGTCTCACTAAAATATGATGATGGAATTTCAAAAATAAATTTTTATGCAGCAAAACTTTATCTGACTTTAACAACATTTCTGATAGGACATGTCACTTATTCAGGGGGCTTTTCTTACCTGTATGTGTAAGGTCCTCTCTGTTCAAGTTTTGGACGTGCTCCTTGCTCTAATACCTCTGAAGGATTTTGCACATGGAAAACCCAAAATTCTCTGTAAACTGAACTTCCGGGCACAAGCCAATTTTCAAAAGCAATGGTACCATTTGAAATGACAGCTTCCTAAAAGGACGAAAATCAAAGCTAAAATTAACCACAAAAAAAATGAGTGACAAGCTGCATTTACTTTCCAGATGATTGTAGAAGACTCTTAAACTAACAGGAAAAAAACCTATTTTATCATCATTATAAGGTATACAGCACACATTTTTGGCCAACGTTTGGAGGCAGCCTGACATTCTTGCTCTGTGAGAGCAAAAGTGAGTCCCCCTAAAATAAATGACCACAAAGCTGATATAATCCCTGCTGTAGCCAATAGCAGAAGTTTCCTAGTGCTGTGGTCAGGCATTACCTTAGTTCCCAAATACTTTTCAAATCCACTAATTTTTTTGTAAAAAGGATATGTTTAAATGAATAAATGATACCCAGCAGTTTTTAGAATCCATTAACTATTTTTCATACATTTGCAAATACCCCAGGGGAGGAAAGAAGAGTTATCTCTGAGCATTACTCACCCAGAGAAAGCAAATAATGTTCTTGAAGGACTGTTTTTTGTCAGAAAACTCTTGTCACCAAAACTGAGAGTTTCTAAGACATTGGTCTAGTTTTGATAACATATTGTTGGGCAGGTTTTTCAGGTCCAGAAAAAAGGCAAAATATAGCTATAAGGACAAGACAGGACATCAGGAACCACTCTAGAGTAACCAACAGCTTTATGTCTGTGGCACTCAGCTCTAATACGGTAAATGTCTACTCAGTCCTTGGAACTGTACAGTGAGAAGGAGAATTTGAAGATATGTTTCCTGTATTGTAAGGGGAATGCCTGCTTTGCCTGGTCTACATCAGACCTCTTTCTTTGTATATGATTTTCCCAAAGCCCTGGAATAATGTAATTTTTCCCCTTGGTGGTAAGAATTCAGAAAAGTTTTTTTCAATAAGAAGAAAAATCTAGGCTACCTGGCTCCAATATACAAAATGTTGGGGTTTTTTTATTAGAGTGGTGCAATACTAATTAGTTAATTAGTCCCAGGAATTGCAAGGCTGGAAAGACATTTTAAATTACAACTTTTAAGATTTTCTTTCTACTTTAATTTTCTGCCTCCAGAGTTTACTTAACAAACACCATCAACAAAAAAAGGCACTACCAATTAAGAACCACTGCAGTTAGAAATGAATACTACGTCTTGGAGAACTTGTAACACAGACATGGTCTTGTCTGTGGAAAGTCTGTATGGTGGATTGCAAATGCCTTGCTGGTGGTGTAAAGCACTGGGCTTGCTGTCTGAATATCTGCTATAATTTATGAGCATTTGTGTGAGAGGGGAAGGAAACCTTGCCACAGCAAATGTGTTATCAGCTGGAGGTCTTTCACTCAGACCCGACTGCTAAAATTCTCTTCAGCCTAATTTTGCAAATCTCAAGAGTCCGAAGACTCTGACACAGCTGTAATCCAGTGTGGGGCACACAATCTCCTTGGTGAAGAGAGAAAGTCTTACATGATTTGGAAATCACCTTTTCAGTTTCCACAGATAATTGCTCAAAGGATCTGCGAGAAGCCTGCTGATATAAAGAAGCACACGACTCACAGAGTCTGTCTGTGATCTGTACTCAGCAGGGTCCTGGGATGGGGGAAGATGCCAGGATTTGACCTCCTGCCTCTGTGTAACTGGGGTAGGGAAATGGTTAAGGATTCCTGAGAGTTATATGGTCAAGATGACAAACAAATCTCTCTAGAATTCAACACACAGGAGTGAACAGAGAAGTTTAAACCTTGTGACAGTAGATTTTAAAGCAGTGTTACTTACTCCTTATAAGAAGTTTTGCCCTCTATCCATTCCTCCCTCCTCTTATAACCCATTTCTAGGGGTTATAATAGCACAGAATTATATTCTAATTCTTCTGCCACTGCAGAGTTTTTTCAGAATGCCTCAATCCCAGAGAGGCACAGAAATAATCCTTAACCTGCCGCCAGCTTTAAATATTTTGAGCACTTTGAAAAATGTTTATTCTGCAATGATGACATCTTTTGACTTTGTGTTGACTTGGAAGAATATATAGGAACGTGCTCCCTCACATCTTTCTCCATGTAAATGATCTTTTTTTTTTTTTTTTTTTCCAAAGGGTGGATCTTTGCCTCTAATCCTCTCTGCTATTGCAGGGGAAGCTGGGTGTGCAGGACTTTATACCAGCTTTTTAGTACAACCAGAACAACTTTCCATGTAAATTCTAAGTTATGTGACAAATCTTTTCATGTACTTTCTCTACTGCCCCTTACTGTACTTTGCTATTCTATGTACTTATCAATCTAGAACAAATTTGCTGTCCACCTAAAGAGGCGGAGTGGCTCTCCTTTACTTTTCATGCAAGGATAATTACTATGTCCATATTCTACTCTTAGTAAATGCCAACAGAGAAAAAATACTTTAGGCATCATGCAAAGAGGTGCCTAGGACTACCTGGAACAGCCAGGTCACAGTGAGCTACTGTGTGGATTTGCAGCCCACCATTTACTCTGTGCTAATGTCACCGTGGACAATCTTGGGGGATGCTTCAAAGGGACAGCTGATCCAACCTGACAGTGCTGCAGCCAAAGGGGAAAGTTGGCTCCCACAGCCCCCGGTACCTGATCCACGCGCCTCCCCCGTCCTCTGTGCCAGCTCTCATTCCTCAGAGACCTGTTTCTGCCTGCTGGGCTGGTGAAATTTACTGGGTTACCTTTCTACCAGTGAGCCACTTGGCTTGGTGGTGTGGGTAGGGGGAAGGACCAGATGAGAACCAGAGTTAAACAAGGGAAGCAGCAGGACAAAAGAGGGAGGGGGAGGAAGGGAGGAAGGCCATTATTTTTGGTGGCATTCAGCCATCATTGTTAATAACATTTCTCCCACAAAGGAGGTGTGTATGATTCTCTGTCACATACTTGGAGAGTACAAACGGTGGGTTAAAGCAGAAGAATATCTAGAGCTCTGTCCTTATTCATGTGTTCATTTAAAAAAAACCCTAATATCGTCACACCAACAAGCCCTTGGGTTTTGACTGATCACTGCTGAGGCTAGCCCTAAATATTACCCCTGTCTCAGGCTGGGCACTTGTATATTCCCCTAGTAACATGCGACCACACTTCATGATGTTATGAAAGGTAAGGTAATTTGGGAAACTACTAATTTACAGTTGATAATATGAAACACTTCTCAACTCCCTAGTCAACCTACATTAGCTCTAATACCTTATGCAATAGTTAACTATTGTTAGCTAAAGTAGCTATACAATATGTTATTGCCACATAGTCAAGCTCATCTCATGACCTAACTGCAAGACTGAGTGAAATCAATGAGAACTTTAACCCCTTTTGTTTCTGACACAATTTTGCCCCCACTTGTGGTGGGTCAGCTGGCAATATATAAATTCAAGAAATCCTGAGCAGTCAGCAACAGAAGCTTGCTGTACTGTTTTTCTGACTGCTAAATTCAGACATCAGTATTTCTGATGAAGAAATACAAAATGTAAGAAAAAGTTGCTGTCTTGACAAAGGATCTGTCCAGATGGACAAAAGATGCTATTTTCTAGGAACTGAGATATACCATGAGTACTTTATGCTGTAACAAAATTGTTACAAGTTTATCTGTATGTGTTATATGTGTTGGGCTGCATATGTAAGCTGGAGGAAATACAAAATAATTCTGTAAAACTGAATAAGTTAAGTTCCAGGAAAGCAAGTAGTCTTCTTAAATTTTGCAGCTTAAAGTACGAATAGCTACTTTTTACTTTCTAAGTTATTATTATTAGCCTTTCTATTCAAGCTTTTTGGGATCAAAACTTTTCTTTTTCAGTCCTTGAGCATAAAACATTTTGAAAGTTAATCAAGTTCACCATTGGTAATGCTGGAATATGTCTGATTAGATAACATGTTCTGCTGAGAGTCAGCAGTTGCTTTAGTTTCACTAGTTTAGATAAAGAAGTGGCATATGAATGTCACAAACACAATTTTAAATTAGAAGTGTTTCCTATGTCTCCAGTAACTAAGAAGATGTAATCTGTCCAGTCACAGATATCAGATATGTAGAATGACAGATGGCAAAACATAATAATAACTAAAATTGAAAGCTTTATTTCTAAAAATAACATAGACTAACCCTGAGGACTCCACAGAAAGAGTACAGCATTGAGGTATTGTGGCAAATTATACAGCGTTCTGTATTATCTATTCATCAGGAATTCAATATATTACATGACACTATGTGGCTTCTGTTAACCTCCTGAGCTCATGCACTCAGGTAGAAAGCAAAAGCTCTTAGAGAAGCAATGAGGAAGATTTTTTTGGCAAATGAATCAGCTATCAATGGGTTTGAGTGGTTAGACCTAGCTGGCAAAAAAACCTGATCAGCCGAAAAAAAAGTTTTATCATAACTGAACTTATGGGAATCTTCCTTAAACAAATAATATTATTTTAAGAGAGGGAAAGGCAAAAAGTAGTAATTAAGCCATGTCAAAATATCTTCTTTCAACAATATCAGATGCAAGCTTTCTGATTTGTTGTTTTGAATTCACCTTTCCTTGTGATTTCTTTTTTTAATGTTAGAGATGATAATTTCTCGTAATAATGAAAACAGACGTGATAATGTCCAACTGAAATGTGTGCAGTCAGTTAAAAAGGTACATTTTTATAGCCTTAAGCAAAATATTTTTTGGTAAGATCTCTGAAACTTTCATGTTTCAATCCTAATTCTACAATGGACAGTTTTCTAAACACCTAAGACCTTCATGGAGAGAGATCTCTCCCCTCTGGATAGATTCAGTGTTTGTGGATTTTTGCCCTTTGGTACTGAAATCAAAGGCAACTTTTATGAGGGAAGTCTCCTTTCCCTGAATAGTATCAGAGCTGAAATAGCTTAGCACTAATCTCGTTCAGTGGATCCCTGCCAAGATGCTGCTGTTGGTGTCATTTTGAGTGTGCTACTCAAGTGACAGTTTTTTTAAAGAGCCTCTAAGAAGATTCAGAATATATATATATATATATATTTTAAATTCTTTAAAAACCTATCCACCCACCCCCTTCAGTCCCCCACTGGAGGCAGGAGTGGAAACAGCTTATCCAAATATCCAAAAAAGATCCGAGACACAGGTAGAGCAGTCTGGGGTTAGAAAACATAGCAGTTGAGCTTTATGTTGAAGCACAGATATAAGTTAATAAACTGGAACACATGAAGAGGTGACATCTTGGTGTTCCATGTTACAGGCATTTTGTTTACGTTGTCCACCCATGGACTGCTCATGGGTGCAGAGCAACACTCCTATCTGACTGATAGGAGATAACAGCCTACACCCTGAGAGTCTCTGTTAAATTTCTAAGGGTAGATAAGATTGTCTATACACTTGCAGATGCTTTCTCTTTGCTGCAACAGTATGCAGTCTTCTAGCAAAATATGTTCTGCAGTGCTTGCTCAGGCTAATCTCTCAATAACCACAGTAATGGAGAAGTGGGACTGATAGGGTTTGGTAAACTGCAAAGGCATCTGCTTAAGGGAAGCATGCACAGGATTCTGCAGCTAGCAGAATAAGAACAGTAAGAATTATTGATTGCATTTATTTCTGAAATCAAAGTTGTCCCTATTTATTGGGAGATGCTGAGAATTTCAGATGGACTTGACTTGCTTGGGAGTAAAATGATGATAATGTGATTTGACCAAATTGATAACAAGTTTATTTATGACAATTTGACTTGTTATAGTGTGAAGAGTCCTAAAACCATTCGTTCAGGAGAAAAAAAAAATCAATAGTTGTTTCTCTATTTGGACAAAAACATTTTATAGTAACATTCACTTCCCCTAGAAATATAGGTTTAGTCCTACTGGGTTGCTGTCAGCTTGTGTAAAGAACTGGGATTTATTCTGAGATAGGATTGGCAGAGAAAAAATTAGGGGTCTTTTTTCAAGCTTTGGACTGTGCAGAATTTAAGACATTATTTTGCTTACAATGGTGATATCTGAAAGAGTTTTTCCCTTTCATTGAAAATATGGCATTTTGACATTTCCCACCCAGTAGGTAAGAACCTAAGTTCAGGCTTTGCCTCATCTAAGTCCAAATATAAATATAAATATAAATAATAGCTTACAGGCCATAGATAGGCCATTTATATAGAAATATAAATAAAAGCTTACAGGCCATATCTGAGTGAATATCTCACTCATTAGGTTTTCTACTGTCCTTGAGTCTTTGTTCTCAAGAAATTCCAAATAAAACTGCCATCGAAACTGACCTGTTTCTACCAAACATTTCCATAAAAAATTACATTTCCAAAAGTGAAAGATTTCAGAAAAAAAATATTTTTAGTATGTTTTGCTCAGCAGACTTTTCCTTTGCAGTCAGCTCTATATTTATCTTAAATATAACTGCAGTGAATAACAAATATTTGTTTTTATTACTAGCCCTCTGTAAGTAAATCAGAACTAGATTCAAGTACTTCTTTGAACATCTGCTGAACTGATCACATATTTCAGCTGTTGTACCTTGACATATCTTTTCTGAAAAGGAATTGTCTTAAGAAGTCTCGTGGTCTCACTGATTAGTCAGTATACTAAATAGAAATAAAATAATCTAGTGCTTTTTTTGCTTAGGAGAAAAGTATCTGTTTACTTGTATAAATAAAGCTGCTACAGATTTATTCTTTTATAGTTTATATGAATACTGGTACAAATTTTCCTTTTTATATACATCAAAAAAGATGCCTTGACATAAGTACAAGAATCTGAAACATTATCACAATGCAGAAAATTATAAAGAGGTTGAAGAAAAAATTATTCTGTCTAATACTTTACCACTAAGAACTCATGCATGGAGGTATAATTTAATATGTAGACATTTGCAAACCATGCCGTATAACTGGTTCATTATTGTAAGTAAACAGATGAACACATAAGTGCTAATATGTGTCATTCACTTTGAAAATACTTAATGGCATAGGAAAACACTCTAGATTAACTCAAAGTAACTATTTAATGTGAGGAGATACACAGTTTTTAAAGTATGCACTTTCCAGAAAACCTGCCATTTCTTCAATATGGCAATCAGTAAAATTATTTGCAAATACAGAGAGTATGATTTTTTTGCAAAATGCTGCAAGGTTGGCGAGACATTATCTAGTAAGAATTATTTTCTTTCCAAAAATTTGAAAATTTCATGAAAAATACAGTAAGAATTGGAAAATTCCTCTACAGATAGGTTTTCATTGAGTTTGCTGACAAAAAGTGTTATATAGAAGCCATTTTTTTCATATTTTTTAAAAAGCGATGCTAGAATCTAGGCAGGGCCTCAACAGATATTTCAACATTTCCTGATAGTTCCTGTATCCACCTCCTCAATTTACTTCAATAACTGTTGAGTTAAGGGCAATCTTCTAGAAGAGCCTTTGAATAAGTATCTAACTCCAAGATCTCCAAAGTCTTCAGCACCACAGCAGACCATTAAGAAGACTAACCAGCAGCCAAATACCTTAAGATTTCTAGATTTTTAACTGTAGGAGAGCCCACCTTGTCTACAGTGACCCCAAGGAGACTCCACATCTCCATGGTAGACACTCCAGGGTTTCCATGGTCTTTCACTCCAGATTACTCCATGATTTAGACTCTCAGTCATACATTCTTTTCACCAAATATTTAACAAACTAACATTTCATTTTTATTTAAAGACAAAACTAGATTTGAAAGACATAAAATCATCTAAAAAAAAAAGAAGAAAAAATTGTCTGCCAGGTCTACAACACTCTACTTCAATTACTCTTCACACTCTGTGAATCAAGAAGATGTATATGATCAGATCCTGCAGTGTTTTGGAGCACATTGACTTGGATCATATAGTCACAGAATGTGAGCTGAATGCGTGTAAGTGTAGGATTAAATTCTGCATCAGAAGTTTGTTTACATTATTTGCAGTAGGTAAGTAAATGAGAGTGCATGGAGTGAATACCAAAATAAGAAAAAAAATAAGAAAAATAAATAAGTGGATCATCATGGGGGAAAACATAAAGAAACTAGAAAAATCATAATTACAATAAAAATAAAAATGCTTACTTCTAAATTACATTACTGAAAATATATCTTGAAAACAATATTTTGTCTTCTCATGTGAAGTATGGAAGAGATCAAGCAAGTAACCATGGCAATATAATTAATATATTTTTAAAATATTGATTCAGCATTTGTTCCCAGAGAAGTTTGGGTTGCACATATTACAAAAAAACAGGTTTAATAAAGAAAAATAAAAAGGGAAAAAATCACAAACAGAACACAACATTTATAAGTAATGACTATTCAATAGCCAAAAAAAATTGTACCTTTTTTATTGCTTTGCCTATAAGGTAATCTCCAACCGGTATCAAAACTCCACCGAAGATAGCCAGCACAGCACCGATGACAGCCCCAGTGAGGAGCCCACAGTTTCTGTTACAGCCCATTCCTCTCTTTCGTCAGGGTGAAGGCAGACAATGTAAAAATTTCCTTGTTGGAAGACCTGATGTTTTTTTCTCACTTCTTGGTCCCAATAGGCTCAATGATCTTCCTGAGAGAAGCTGCTTATATAAGAAGAGAGTGAACAAAAATCACATTCCAAAGCTCAAAGTACAAAGTGCATGAGGTGAAGCAGGTAGGAAGACAACATGTCAAAAACAACCAGCCAGTGCCAAACAAAAAAAAAAAAGTTGCATGTACTTTTGGCAAGCTAGTCACATGTGACATATCATTATTTTATTCCAATTCTCTAAAAGACTTTCGTTAGTCTTTTTTTTTTCTTTTTTTTTTTGGCTCTGTTGTACTGGGACAAACTGATATACTTATTATTCAGCTGACACTCTTCCTGGGGCAAGCAACTTCTCTAAAAATCTCTCTGTGCTAAAAGAGGAGGCTACAGCTCTCAGCTTTAATCACAGCCTGCAGTGCCCATGGCTCCTCCACTTCAGGCAAAACCAGGAGTTTACACCTCTAGTATGAGCTACCCAGGCTATTTCTGTGTTATTCCAGCAAGGAAGTCCTCAAGGTCTATCAGTGCCTTGGTAGGAATGGCAGCTTCTAATGGGAGGCACCTACAAGGAGCCTGTCTTTCCGGATGTCTGTCAGTCCACAGTCTACTGCTGAAGGGATAAAACTTTGACAACTGGATTTTCCTTTTAGAGTTGCATTCTTGTTATCACCTAGTTTCATCAATCCCAATCGCCTTACAGAAAGGCAGTCTTCTTAAAATGAGTCTAGATTTTGATCTTTGAAGGATATAACACCTTATATTTAAAGATCATTCAGTCTCAGAAAGAAAAAAAAAAGTCTGCAATTACTCATTGGAAAACAACAGTTGCTGGTAATATGTGCTAACGTACCTTAAGATCTGGCCTCTAATGAAAGGTGTTGTAAAGAAAAATCAGTATTATACTAGTGCTGAGAGATGCAGTAAAATATAAGCTCCTAGTGACATTTTTACCTATTTATTACTGTTTATAAATAACTGAGACAAAGAGCTGCCTAATTTGCAATTTATTCTTGCTCAGGAATTAATCACATCCACAGAATTTGCAAGTTTGTTATTTGCTTTAGAACTCCAGCTAATGGAAAATCTGCTGGTTTTTGTTTTAGATGTCATTGTCCATATCCTTTTTATTCTTACCAATTCCTGTTTGTTAACATGTTGCGATCACCTTTATACCAATTTTAAAGCAGGTATTAGTTGAAGAGTTAATTACGCATTCAAGGACAAACACAGAGAACAAAGTAAAACAGATGGAGTGGTAGAACAACTCAACCTGAATTCCTACTTTACTCTTGAGGATTAAAGGGCTAAAAAATCTTTGTGTAATTCTAAATAGTAGAACAGGTGGAGGAATAGCATGCGTTTTATTTTGGTAAATGCAGTTATGTGGTCCTTCTATTAAAAAAAGGACACACGCAGTATGCACTGACATATAAGGTACCATGGTCAGCAGGCTAACAATGTGTCCTCCCATGTCCTATCAAACCCACAATTATATCATGTCCATACTTGAGCCCAGCCCGCTCCTCTTATCTGCACTGGAAACCCACCTTCTAGCTGCTCCTACACTAGCAGCAGTTTATGGCTCTGTTGCCATTAGCAATGACTCTTTCTATAAGTTTGAACTCATTCAGTACTTTAATAATTTCTCCTTGGATACTTGCAAGCAGAATGACCAAAAGACTACTTGCAATCTCAGAAAAAAACCTTCCTAAAAATGTCAGCCAGTCCATCCACCTGCCACCAGGTCATTCGTTGTGGTTCCCACATCAAAACTTTACCCTTTGATTGTTTTACCTTCACATACAAGAGATCAAGGAAAAAAAACAGATTTGACTGAAGTTTTTTACTTTCTCTGGGGCCTGAGAAGAGTCTCTTTACAGCTGTAAACATGTCTTTTCTACTGGAGGAGGTATACCTTATTTGAACCACAGGTTTACTTAGTTGCTTTCCTCTCTGCCAGCTATATTACTCTGTGCCTTTGTACAGAACAGCAATAGAAACCCATCAAAGGGGTAACATTAAGAAAAAAAATCAATTTTTCCAAACTTTTCATTCAACTTGTTGCACTTTTCACAAAGATAAGTGAAAGATGAGTTGACTGAATCATAAAAAACACCAAGTTATGAAGGTTCTTTGATATAGTGGATGGATGCCTAATGTGCCTAACAGCAAACTTCGAAGCAAACTCAAGTTAGAAATTAATTAGACCTGAAGAACTTGTAAGTGAAAGTCATAACTCTCATAACTTTGTAGATATGGTCAGATCAGGATCTTTAGTCTGGCAAAAGCAGAACTGTAACATAGCTGTGCAACTCATTGGATAAGCGGTGTAGGTATTTAAAAATCTAATTGCTGTTACACATTGTGACAAATCTAAGGAGTAGCGGACATTCTCTGTGAAATCTAGTTCTGAAAAGTACATATTTCAAGTTAACTTTTTTCCCCAATGCTATATATTCTAGTAGATATTTTTTTAAAGTGTAGAAATATACATTTCAAAATTTAAAATTGAAATTATCGCTTCCTTAAGTGTTTAAAGAGGGCTTTTAGACATCATCAGACTTTTTTTCTTGGTTTACATACTGGATCTTTTAAAATTCAACAGAAATACACCTTCCACGAAAATAAATTTCTACGTAAGTTTCTAAAAGCTCTTCCAATGGATTAGTGTGTGTGTGTGTGTATGTTAGGCAGACTAGGTATCTCTCATAAGCACTAAACAGCTAGAAAGCAACTGACTGCTAATAACTTGTGTCTATTCCAAGCTTTTGCAAATTGTAAGATATTCAACCTTTTCCCATCAAACACAATGCAATAGTAGTCTAGACATAGCTCAATTTATGCAATTCAAATTATCTATTACACAACTGCAATGAAGAGCACTCACCACACAACACTCAGTTTCACACAGAAGTCAACAAGCTATTCTTATCTATCACAACTGAATGTAAAATATGAGGGTTAGAGTAGAGATTTCCAACGAGAATGCAGTTGTGTCTGGGAATTAATATTCAACTGAAAGTAATTTACCTTAAGCAGAGTAGAAAGTACCATAACAAACTCAGATATTATCTATGAGACAATAGTATCATTTAAACTTAGAATTGACTACAGCATTAGTAATATTAACCCTGTTCCACAGTGTTGGCTATGTACTTTTTAATATTGTTTCAAATGTCCTTAGTAGAGTATTGACAGTGGAAATGGTCCAGTCAAATCTCTGAAAGGAGAATTTATAAGTATTGGAATAGGAGGAAAGCTGAAAAATGTTATTAACATTTTCATCCCTACTTAACTTACACTTCTGTACACACTTGTTTAAAGTAAACCCTTATAAAAATCGAATAATATTATCTGTATTTTCTTAATGATTTCTGCAGCTTTGATAGTAATTTTTAAGCATTGCTGGGCACGGCATTACTTTGATTCTGACATAGAATCAGATTTATTGCCCCAAATCAGAGCAACTACTTTGACATACTTTGAAATTATAATTTTGAACTTTTTATCTGCAATAGTAAATGATAAAAATATTACTTTAAAAATATACATTTCTTATAAATTCACGTAACTCCAGAACTGTAGTTTTAAAAACATGAAATATCAAAAGACAGAATGCAACTCAGAAAGCCAGCAATACTGAACATAAAATACCATTGCTAACATAGTAACAAAGCATTTCACTAATACCTGTAAAATTTAACTGTTTCTTGCAAACAACTTTGCAAAATCTTGCCTTTTTATGTTATTTTACAAATAAATATTTTGAAGAGCTTTCCATCAACTGATTTTAAAAACATTTCTGAGGAAAACCCTCTGATTTTAAGCATTGGATCATATGACTCACCTTGAATAAGGGCAAGTGACTTTTCAGCTGAGTGTACAAGCACTTAACACATGGCTTGCATCAAGTTACGAGAAGACAAGCTGTTAAATCTCCCCACCGAGCACATAGCCTCTAAACTCCAAGGGAGTGTTTATATATTCCAAGAGACGTCAGTTCCCTCTTTATCTTTTTGCCAGAAGAAAAAGTTAAGTTGTATTGGTGCTGGGGGGCACGTTATTTTTACAGTCTGACTAAAAGCCACTACCTACATCTCGTGGTAATATACTTAGCAGCTGCAATCTTTGTCAAATTTTGATCCAAGTGAGTCAAAGGTCAAGGAGACAAAAGGGTAAAATACTTATTTGGTTCCTGGTCACTTCTTTTCTAATAACCATTTGCTTTTAAAACTGCTCATATTAGCAAGTTCTGACTAACCAGTTCCTGACAGCTTCCTTAAGATACAGAATATTTTCAAATATTCTTTGCTATATAGCATGCTCTGTTGTATAATATAATAAAAAAAGCCTTAATACTGAGTCAAAATACAGACTAAACACCTTTGCAGCTTAATCATTGTGATAGTATATTTTCAAGTAATAAACATCAGGAAACGTCAGAATATTTTTAAAAGGGATTTTTTTTCACATTTGCATTACAACATTTCCTCACAAAGTGCTAAGGCTCTTCCTCTTTTACTGCAAGTTCAATGAACTTCATCCCAGAAGCTTCTTTTTCTTAGTGTATCTAATAATCAGTTATTTTTACACTGACATCTATGTAGACCAAAGTATCACCCCAGCACAGTGTCTACTAATAATTAATAATAAACAGTTTGGCAAGCTTTTGCACAAATATTTTTTAAATAACTCCTTATCCCACGTGAATTAAATGAATGGATTGTTTTAAAAGATTCTTCTGGCAGCAGCAAGCGGAAGTGATCTATATTTGGCTCACTTAATTATGAGAGAAAATATTCCTAAAAATAGATTCTTAGGTCTTGTTATTTTCTTAGGGAAAATAGCAAAAGGAAGACTATGGAAAATGTGGGCCCACTGTTGAATGAGGTGGGTGCCCTGGTAACAGAAGATGCTGAGAAGGCATATACTGAACACCTTCTTTGCTTCAGTCTTTACAGATAAAAGTGCCTCTCAGGAATCCCAAATGCTAAAGGGAAGAGAGAGAGTCTGGAGAGAGGAAGACTGCTCCCTGGTTGAGGAAGAGCTGATCAGAGATAGTCTAAACAAAATCAATATACACAAATCCATGGGCCCTGATGGGATGCACCCATGAGTGCTGAAGGAGCTGGCGAAAATGATCGCTACATGGCTCTCTATCATCTTTGAAAGGTCCTGGAGAACAGGAGAGGGGCCTGAAGACTGGAGGATAGCCAATGTCAATCCAGTCTTCAGAAAGGTCAAGAAGGAGGATCTGGGCAACTACAGGCCAGTCAGCCTACCCTCCATCCCTGGGAAGGTGATGGAACAGCTCATTCTTGATACCATCTCTAAGCAGCTGGAAAAGAAGGTTATCAGAAGTAATCAACATGGTTTCACTAAGAGGAAATCATGCTTGACCAATCTGTAGGTAGCCTTCTATGATGTCTTCACCAGCTGGGTAGATAGGGGAAAGCGGTGGATGTTGTCTACCTTGATTTCAGCAAGGCTTTTGATACCATATCCCACAACATCCTTGTAGCAAAGCTTAGAAGGTATGGGATAGATGAGTGGATTGTGAGATGGATAGAGAATTGGCTGACTGGCAGAGCTCAGAAGGCTGTGATCAGTGGCGCAGAATCTAGTTGGAGGCCTGTAACTAAAGGTGTTCCCCAGGGGTTGGTACTGGGTCCAGTCTTGTTTAACATCTTCATCAACGACCTGGATGTAGGGATAGAGTCCACCCTCAGCAGGTTTGCTGATGACACGAAGTTGGGAGGTGTGGCTGACACACCAGAAGGTTGTGCTGCCATTCAATGAGACCAGGACACACTGGAGAGTTGGGTAGAAAGGAACCTGATGAGGTTCAACAAGAGCAAGTGCACAGTCCACCTGGGGAGAAATAACCGTATGCACCAGTACAGGTTAGGGGCTGACCTGCTGGAGGGGAGCTCTGAGGAAAAGGACCTGGGTGTTCTGGTGGACAGCAGGCTGGCCATGAGCCAGCAGTGTGCCCTTGTGGCCAGGAAGGCCAAGAGTATCCTGGGGGGCGTTAAAAAGAGCATGGCCAGCAGGTCAAGGGAGGTTCTCCTCCCCCTCTACTCTGCCCTGGTGAGGCCATATCTGGAGTACTGTATACAATTCTGGGCTCCCCAGTTCAAGAGAGACAGGGATCTTCTGGAGAGAGTCCAGCGGAGGGCCACAAAGATGATGAGGAGCCTGGAGCATCTCCTGTATGAGGAAAGGCTGAGAGAGCTCAAAGTCTTCAGCCTGGAGAAGAGAAGACTGAACCAAAAGTTCCACACAAATTTAAGGAAAAACTTCTTTACTGTGAGGGTGACAGAGCACTGGAACAGGCTGCCCAGAGAGGTTGTGGAATCTCCATCTCTGGAGATGTTCAAAACCTGCCTGGATGCTTTCCTGTGCAACCTGTTGTAGGGAACCTGCTTTGGCAGGGGGGCTGGACTAGATGATCTCCTGAGGTCCATTCCAACCCCTACGATTCTGTGATTCTGTGATACTTCCAGGGTATAACATGGAATAGTTTATGTGATCCACATGTTTAGTATTTGGTATGTTTTTTGACCGATTGTTTACAGTTCTGTTTTTGATACTGCTTGATATAGTTATCCTTTTGGGGAAGAAACTCCTTTCTTCTAATATACTTCTGCTATGTAAATCTAAATTGGATGAAGATTAATGAATTTGAGCTTTTATCTCTAGCAGTGAAAGCAAGAGTGAAGTGAGCCTGGTCCTTTGAAAGCAACCTGTAGGACAGTCTTTGTACAAGGCTCATTGCCAGGGATGTTGGTGACCCTGACTATTCAGTTTCACATCTTCGAAAAGCGAAGTAGATTTGCTTTCCTCTTTTCTCTAATTCAAGAGTGAAGTTTAACTGCTGAAGAAGCAGTCCTCCACACTGGAGTAGTGCATGGTTTCCATGCACTACTTTTATGAATATTATCATTAATTATTTGTATTGGACATCTCCTTGTATGATGCTCTCTTGAGGATTGTCATGTTTGGGATCCCCCAGCTTTCTTCTGAGGATGCACTGCCTTCTTTACTGCTGATTTGTCTCTTCTAAGTGGGATTAATTGCAGTTACTCACAACTGCCCATGGAGATGTTCCCTACCATGCTAATTTTCTCCATTTGCAGTGTATGGGATTTAATGTGCACCATTCATAAGGGAGGAAAGTATCTACTGCTGTTTTTTTGTTGGAGTCCTAAAGGCACTAAGACAAATGTAATGAAGTTGAGTTTTCAACATATGCATGTTGAGTTTTATCAGCTGATTTTATGACTTATGATATCCTATTATCCTCCTATATAAACAAAATCTCTTCTAACAGGCAGTGTTTGGCAGTGAAATGAGGACTTCCAGGTTCAACTGCAGAAAACAGCTTAAAGGATTTGAAGCTAAGAGAGAAGCTGTGCTCTTTTGAATATCAATCATTTCTGTTTCTTATAAACAAAACAAAACAAACCCAACCTAAGTACCTAATGGTTCTTCTGTGTTCTCTGGCTTCGTATTGGAGTTCAGAGGTTATGGAGAAGAAAATACAGAGACAAACAGCAACAGAACAATGACAGAAAAAGTGAAAAAATATGTACTTCATCTGGTGCAACAGTGGTGCTATGAGAAAAACTAGCCCACAAGGAGAAACTGTCAAGAAAGAGAAATGGTGTAAATGACAATCATATGCTTGATGAAGACACAGAAAACCACAGGAAACAGAAAAAGACAAATGCAGTTGTTAACTCCAAATGAAATCTGCCCACATTTCCTGGAATAAACATGCTACTGACAAGAAAATGCTGAAGAGATTATTGTGATTCCTGGCTTTTCTAGAAACATCATAGCAGGGCCAAATAACTTTCTTTGGGGTGATTTCTAAACCCAGAGGGAACAAATGAGGAGAGTTATCATCTTTCTACACTCCCTGAGGTCCCTGAACATTCAGTGAGTCCCCTTTTTATTTTATGTTAAGATCCCTTCCGTTAGAGGATTTTATACCTTTATGGTACATATAATACAAATTTTGAGGATGCCCACATAAATGTTCCCACATTCCTGTGGGAATTCTCTAATGTAAAGTACAGCACAGCACAACATGATTTTATATTCCCATGTTTCTACAGTCATGGCAATTGCAGATTACTTCTTCACCTGCCTATTATGAAACTTGTAAAAACTAATTTTAACATTAATCCCTTGTCAGATGTGGAGATGTTAGCAGATGTTAGCCGAGGTTAGCAAGAAAATGAGAGAGCTCCAGGAAACTCCTGTCTATATTTTCATACCCTCTGAATTTTTCAGAGGACACTAACATTGAAGAAAACAAAACAAAACAAACAAACAAAAAACCTGAAAACCAACACACACAAAACCAACCTTCTAGTTGTTAGGCAAAGTACCAGGCCCTGGGGCAGAAGATGAGGTTAATGTTGTCAGCATTCAAAACACGATTTTCTATACTGTTTTGGGTACTCTTCCTATTTTGAAATAAAGATGTAAGGAATTATGTTTACCTCTTTTCTATGATAAGTGAAAACATGGATTTATTTTTTATCCAGTTTATTCTATTAATATCATCTTATGTGGTTTCTACACTCCCCACCCAAAAACCCATTGCCATCACTAAGTAGTCCTCTGGCTTCTCCACAGTTATTAAGTTCCACAAGAAGGGCAGTATCTTTCTCAGAGTGTAAGATTTAAAGCATTCAAAAAACCCACAAAAATTAAAATGTGGCTCCTGTCCCCAAATAAGCTCTTTTGGACTCAATACACTCATATTCACTCGTGCACTTAGTCCTACTGAGGAGGAGAACAACAAAAATGAATCATCTACAAAAGAAAATGTGCAATATGCCACCAGCTGGATGAGACTTTTGCCCTTCTGCATGTATTAGAGACACTGAGAGGTGTTCCTTTATAGAGAGTGAAATTTTGTATTCATGAAAGGTGGT